TAACCCCGTTAGGGTCATTAATCCTAGTTTCGGACACACAACACACATCAACACCCAGTGTGTCCAAGGTGCGTGCGAGTGCAGCCTGCTGACCTGTTTGTCTTAGAGTGCGGACGTTGAATGTCTCCATGGAAACGGGACAGCGTGGCCTTATAAGGGACTTTTGCCGATAGGCGTCCGATAGGTGCTGTGGGATGGTGGCTGCAGATGGTTCTACTCCAGTAGCACTTCGGTTGCTGTCAATTAAGCTGGGAATTATAGAAGGAAGGTTAGTAATAGGGGCCGGGATGGGAGTAAGAGAAAAAGGTGGAAAAGAAAGAAGGGAGGCGCCAGCAGTAGCATGCTTTCGCTTATCCGCCCTGCTGTATGCAGCAGATAAGGCGACGCTTGATAATCTGCGCGACGGCCGATGCAGGATGAAGTTTATGTTTGAAGAAAATGTCATGGTTGTATGTGGGCTGGGATACTGCCAGGGCGCCCAGACCTAGACAGGAGAACGATTAGGGTCCTCATCCAAAGCCTTTGGCTCAAAAGCCTGTCCGCAAGGCAGCGGGGTGGCAGTGATTTAGTTTTACAGAAATGGACGCCATCCCATTTCAAACCCCTAACCTGGAGGACCAGGAGACTGAGTTTGTCTGACCTCTCACTGTTGACCAACCTGGTAGGAGTAGCTCTCAAGATGCTCGGAGGCATCACCCAGTATAGCTCAATGGGTCAATGAGGTACGCAAACCGTCGCACCACGTTAAGGTCCAGTCTCGTTGCGACGGCGATCCCTCTGTAGGCGCAGGCATCCTGTGGCTGGCCACAGTGACAGGTAAATCCGAAACCGGATGCCGCCAACCGTATATATATATATATATATATATATATATATATATATATATATATGTGTGTGTGTGTGTGTGTGTATTCACAGTCGGTTAACAGACATTGTGCCATAAAAACCGTAACAGAAAAATAGTGGAAAAGATAGAAACACGAACTGCGATTTAAAAATGCAAAACGATTTTTTTGGTTTTACACCCTTTTGAATTTTTTGTTTTGTGAGATTTTGTGTGTATTAAAGGGGGGATAAAATGACAGAACAACATTGACGCCACTGATGTCTATTGCGGGCCATGACATCCAATGTTTCCAACCACTGAGATTCAGCATCTCGTGGTCCCCAGCCTGGAAGACGGACTGATCCGACTGCCGCCAAACTTGAAGTTGCCTTCTTCATGCTCCTTCTCCACGTCATTGGCTGTCCACCGCGACACTCTTTCCAGTCGCTTTCTGGGAGTGCAAATAGCGCTCGACGTGGAAGGCCATGGGCTGGCATACGCAAAGCTTGCCTGAACCAACACATGCGATATCGGAGAGTAACTTCCTGAAGACTGGCACTACTCCCTGCAAGCACTCGGTCTCGCACCTCTGCGTTGCTTTCGTGGTGTTGCCACCACACCCGAGCAATCCTTCGTAGACAGCGTTTGTCGAAGATTGACAGCCGCGTCATGTCTTCCGATCGAATAGGCCGTCTCACAGCCGTACAAGAGTACTGCACGGACAGAAGCATTGTACACCCTACCCTTGAGCTTGAGACTGACATCACGACGACGCCATAGGTGTCTCAATGTAATGAATGCAAGGTGGGCCTTTGCAATCCGTTGTGAGACTTCATCTCCAGCATCGCCTCCAGCTGTGATGCAACTCCCTAGATACGTAAAGCAAGGAACTTACTCCAGAACATGTCCAGCAATGGTGAGCGCGGGTTCAGGCAACTGCCAGTCCTGGAGCAGCGTTTTACATTTTCCTGGAGTGAAGTCTAAGCCGTACTTAGACGTCTCCATTACTAAGCGGTCCAAAGCGCTCTGGACGGTTTGTGGATCGTCCCTCAGCAAGGCGATGTCATCGGCGTAGTCCAACTCCGTGACTCTGTCTCCAGTGAGGAGCTCAACATCGCAGTTCTGGACACCTTCCAGTGTTCTTTGGGCAACATCTTCGATGGCGAAGTTGAAGAGGAAAGCTTAAATAGGGCAACCGTGGCGAACACCGCTAATCACAGCAAATGAAGAAGTGAGCGTGCCGTAAGCCTTGACTTTGCCCGACGTGTGACTGTAAAGTTCTTTCAGAATGGTTACAAACTTGTCGGGCACACCTTTCTTCAGTAAACAGTTCCACAACGCAGATCTATCTACTGAATCAAATGCCGCTCGGATGTCCAAGGATACTACGATTGTTGGCCGCCGGTGGATGTGACGAAGTTCGAGAAGTTGGCGAAGCGTGAAGATTTTGTCCATGCAGCCGTGGCCTGGATGAAATCCGGCTTGTTCTTCTCAGGAAAACTCCTCTTTACTTGTTGAAAGCCTGCGAAGTAGGACCGACACGAAGCTTTTGGATGCGACAGAGATTAACGAGATTCCGTGGTAGTTGCAGCAATCGTCACGGGAGCCCTTCTTGTTAATCGGAACAACGACCGATTCTCCCCATGAGTTCGGAACCTTCTCTTCAGTCCAAACTTTCGTGAACAGCGATAGGATTTCGCTCACAAGTACACTCCCGCCATCTTTGAATAGAGCCGGTGGTAGGCTGTCGGGACCCAGAGCCTTGTGGCGTTTCAAAGATTGGATTGCATTTCGAATCTCCTCTTCATTTAGAGGGGCTGTGGAGACATGCCAAGCATCATTCATTGGGGCTGGAGGTGTCACAGGGGGCTGTGTTGTGTGGTTGAAATAAAGAGCGAAATGCTCTGCCCAGCGATCCAATTGCTGTACGGATCGTAGACATGGTCAGTTCGCAATGAAGACATTAAACGCTTGGCCGTGTTTGACCACCGGTGCCTGCTGAGTGTTCCTCAGGTCTGGTTGGAACAGCGATTGAACAATGCTGTTTGTTTTTGACAAGTTGCCTTCTGGTGCCTCTCTCGAGTGTCTGCTACATCTCACTCGCTTGCGTTGGCTAAAACATGTCCTCCTTATGCCCGTTGATCGACTTCCTCGGCGTGAATTATACGCCGTGGCTGCACCAAGTTGGACGAACCGCTTTGCGGCCAGTCCATGACGTCGCATAGAGGCATAATTAAACTGATTGAGATATTTGGTCTGGCTGATGCGTGCCGTATTCGTGGATATATATCTCGGGTTTGTCCGCACCAGTGGTCACACAGTCAGTGGCGTTCCTGCATTCAGTTTCTTGCATCGCGTTGTTACCTTTCGTTGCATTCTGATTAATCTAATGCATCTTCTTGCTTCCATTTTCTTTACATCCTATTTGCACCCAACCCAACTTTGTCTTTGTAATTTATTCTTTTTCTTGCGATGTGATTCATGGTAACTGGATCCAACTCACGTCGGTGTTCGGATCATAGTCATTAATCTGAACTGAATGTCTCCCGTGGCTAGGTTTTAAGGGAAGAGGACCTTACTTCCGAATAGGATTTGATTGTGAGACTTGTGTGAGTAGCTCTGAAGGCACTTGGAAAGTACCACGCAGCGTGACTTAATGGGTCACGGAGGTACGCAAACCATCGCACGACGTTAAGGCCAATTCTCTTCGCGATGGGTTTAGTTTATCTCTTAACCTACAGGCATCAGCAATGTTCCAACGTCACTCTCGCAAGTGCTTTCTTGTTCGCCTATGAATCCAGCTGCAAAATGGCATACAGTACCAGCCCTTGTGTCTACATTGAAAGTCTTGCTCTCTATACCGGTAACTCGTATGCGGACTCAATATCGTTTTTCGAAGACTGCAGAGTTCTCTTGCTACTTTTCCAAAGGAGTGAATGCTAAGCTGTCTCATCTGGTTTCAATTCTGTCTCCATAATCCTTCCCAGTGGGTTTCCTGAACAGTCTGTAAGGGAAGTTCTTAGGCTTTGAAGCGTGTAAGTTTGATTGGTCAATCTTTTGTCTTAGTCTATTGCGAACGGTTCTTGCTGCACCGAAGCAGTCCTTGGCACCTTTACATTTCACTCACAGACTCGAAGGTTCTGTTATCATTTGGTGATCGGACTTGCCTTAAGTGAACGGTTTGAAGCTGAATGAAGCCACCAAGTAATTTCAGACTTCGGGGTAATCGCCATGTGTTTGTATTGCCTTGCGCATTCTCTTTTGGACACCTTGGTCATTTCGATCACTGAGAGTGGAGAGTGGAGAGTTTTTGATGTTGTTCGCTCCCAACATTGCACTTTACTCCCGGTTTCGTCTTTCTTTGTGGTGTAGGTATCTTTGTCCCTTCCCCACCCGTTTCGCTTGCCTCTAATCACGATCTAGCATTACATGCAAACTATTGTTCTCCGCATTATATTATCTATCCTTTTGTAGTTTTTATATCATCTTTGTACTGTGGCACACTAGCTTAGACGTGTTTCTCACCCTCTGCTAACGTGTATTGATTATCATGATTAATGCAAGCTCCTCTTGTTCATCCCATGAAGTTGCATAAATCCCGATGCACTTGGCCTTACATGACACAATCGTCACGTAGGTTAATCTGGCCTGGGATGTACCGTTATACGTGGTGTTGTTGCCACTAACACTGATGGAGTTTGAGCATCTACTCGACATCCTTGGTGCGCGTTTCTAAACCCTATTCACATATTAGCCTCTGTTCTTGGTTACTTTTATTTTTGCCCTTATTGGTAAATTGTTGTCTCCAGTTTTTTAACGCGGCTCGTGCAACGGGAATCGCTAGTAAAGGGCATGCTAACATTTATTTATTCACTGTGATGTGATCCGCGCGTATTGATGTCTGTTTCTTCAAATCACCCGGCTTCATCCTAGCTCATCGACTCACTCAGGTCGGAGTACAATCCTTTTGTCCCTGCCCCATTTTCACTTGTTTCCTACATGTAACCCTTTGCATTCCATTGTGCGAGAGATTCGTACGTTTGTTATTTTTACCGACATGTTTCCATTCACAACTAGCGTTTTCACTATCATCATCTCGTCTTCGACGCTGCATCGCCAGTCATGCTCCTGAAACCGTTATGATTTCATTTGGTGTACTGTCCCTTCCTTTTCAGCTTTCTGAAATCACTTCCAAATCTACTTGAATTCCGGCACACTGCTCAACTATGAAGGCCTACCACTATGTGTTTGCTTTGTCTCTCGTTTCACTGGCCCTAGTTACTTCCAGGCAGCATGTGCTTAAATTAAAAGTTCGCTTTTGGCTTTGATAAACGCATCTTCAGAACGACAATCGGAATGCAATTTTATGTAGCCACTTTGCATACTATGCAGGTGGTTTTCTATCGATTTCTTTGGATAATCTTGACGGCGATTTGTCGAGTGTAAGTCTTCCTATCTGTGTGTATATTTATACAGTCCGTCTAATGTTGTGTTCAGTAAACTTATGTGATTTTAACGCCAACCATTCAAACAAGTTCAGTGCTTCGAAGCTGCACGAAAAAATAGGCATCTGTTTGTCATTCTCGCCTCAGTCCCGATAATCTTCAGCACTTAATCTGTGAGAGATAACTTCTCTCGTCAAGTGAACGAGTTCCTTCGTCGTAGAAGAAGTTCAGGCGTTGTAGTAGTGGTTGGTTATCTGAACATTCATTTCGGACAATTGTCCGAGGATTAGCTGCACCTGGGCGACCAGCTGTCCTAGGCTACCGTAATGCCAACTGTGGGTGGTTGCTGCACTTGTGGGAGATGCTCGTCTAGTTTCCACGAGAGATAACTTCCGACACAGTACCAGCCTCTAGTAGCCTCGACCCAGCTATGGACGCTAATCAATCCCATTGCGACCAGTTACCGTTGGATAGGCCGCGTTCAATACTGCCTCTTGATTTGTAGCATATGCTCTATGCACTTGTATATGCTCATCTTTGGGCACGTTTCGGCGGAGATCCGCGACAATGCAAATGCATTTGCCAACTCGCGGAGGCATATGTCCTAAATGCGTTTCAAAGTGCACGTGGATGCGATCTGAGTATGGACTCACTAAACGCAACTGAATAGTCACTGTTCGTATGTACGCAAGGCTTTATTTCCAGCAAGTATATGTTTGTTTTGCGAACCCGATTACCAGTTTGGACAGGCGGTCTGCACGAGATCTGTATAGTTTGTCGATCACCGAAGACATTCAGACAGTATAAATCCGACAAGTCTTCCAGAAGAATGGCAAAAGAAGAATGACAGACAAGTAAGCTAGAGGAGGAGAGAGCAGACTGGTTCCTTTATGACTACCACATTCTGAATGTGAATCTCCTTTGAATATTGGGGCTAATGTAGAACAACTCCAGTCGAGTGGGACAGTTAATTTTTTCCACAGTTTCACTAATACATAGTGCAAGTCGTCCACAAGAGCTGGTCCTTCGATTCTGAAGAAGCCTGGCTAAAACCCATCTAGTCCTGCGGCCTTATTCAACTTCAGTAGCATGATTTCATATTCCACTACTTCGCGAGTGAATGATTCCAAACAGATAGTCTAGGGAATAGAGTAGTCATTGGCCTGCAGCGAATTTAGTAGTTACTGCTGATTTGTTTTTCAAAGTGCTCATCCTAGAGCTTCAACCATTTTGATAACTTTGGAGATGGAGTGCCAACTCTCCTCGCACACAGTTTTTTTGACACTAGGTCTCTTGCTGCCCGTTTCCTTAATCGCACATTAAATCAATGGCTATCAATAGTAGCAGCTGTTTCTATTTCCACTGCATAATAAAACCAACAGGTATTTTTTTCAGACTAACGCCATTTTTCTCTCTGATCTTTGGAAGTCTTGTGTCAAGCTGTCGTCGCCCTTCAGTCTCTCCAGCGGGGTTAGACAGGAATATCCGCTGTCATCTTTCCTTCTTAACTTCGCCATTGGTGAATCCATGAAAATTGCGTTTACTGCATATCACTTCGAATGTGTGGATTTACTTCCAGATGATCTTCTCGACCTGATGTCTGCCGGCGGTATTGCCCTAATCGGTGACAGCTCGCAAACGTATCACTCAGCGTTGGACCGATTAGTCATGGCTGTCAGTCGTTTTGCGCTCTGTTTTGCACCCTCAAGATACAAAGCCTCCCTATAAGATTAACATCAGCCAAAGAACTGACCCTTAGTGGAGATTAACTAGAGATTGTGCAAAAATGCAACTAAATGAGCAGCTGTATCAGCGTCTGTGAAATCGAAAATGTGGTCACTCACCATATAGCAAAAGCTCGAGGTACTTTTGCTGAACTTCGCTACTTATGCTATCATTGCGGTATCACGCTCACCCTAAAATGTGGAGTCTATACTGCTGTCATCCATGCAATTTACTGTACAGCTGCGAAACCTTGTCCATTATATCAACAACCTTAAGTATAGCTATGGTGGCTGCGGAGTTTCGCTCATGTTTGGTGGGAACACCGCGTGAGAAGTTACTGTGTCCGCTGTTTTGTCTTTAGTGCAGAAAGTGTGTGGACCGCAACGCCAATTGCAGATATCAATCATTGAATCTATACATTAGCTGAAGATAAGAAATACCTAAGCTAGTGTGCCGCCAACCTGGAATCTTGCGGCGCGGGTTCGAATCCGCGTAGAGATGGGCGACCTCGCGGTATACTCAGCTTGCGTGCGACTGGCGGTAGTCGCATGGCAGCGAAGCGCCATTACGGCCTGCAACTGACGCATTATTATTATTATTATTATTATTATTATTATTATTATTATTATTATCATTATTATGCTAACCTGGCAGTTGTACAGGACCAGAGGGGTTAAACGCTATGTATATGATTTCATGCTTTTTCGCCAGGTCATCGCTTGGCCTTCACGTGACCTCTTTCATTGTGATACTGCGCGCGCCAGTAGGTTGCAGCATAGTAAACGCTCGCTAGGCATGCTCAGGAAGTGGCCACACCATCACAGTTGGCACAACATCACAGGTTCACTGAGGGAAGGTCCGCCTTACCCAAGGGGGTGTGTCTGACCTCGTCATTGGATATTTTGTATTGCCACCACACACAGGTGATTTTCTACAAGCAGCCACTCTTAAAGGCCGAAGGTTTACGCATATTTTCTGTACGGACCGACCTGGACTTTTGTCAATACAACAGTGTCGCACTGTATGCCCTGCCGTTTAACGTAAACTAAATGGCGCAACCACTTCATCAATGTCTCAAGTCAACTAAGACCTACCGATCTTTTGCAACACCAAAAGTTACCTTCTTTCCAATAATGCTGTCGTGAACCAATGGCAGACGCTACTGCACCAGTTATCAGTAGCGTGAAACTGCCAGGATGCGAAACGGCAACCATCCAACAGCAGGCAGTAATGACTCCTCCAAAGGAGAGGAACGTTTTGAAACGGCAGTTGTGTGCGCGCGAGGATTGAACGCATAAGCAATGCACACCACACAACCCTTAGACGCAATAGGAAACCTGCGTCGTACAACCAACAAGGATGGCGAAGATGAGTGCATGTCTCGTTTGTCGGAACGGATGCATCTAGTACTAGCTATGTTTGACACAATAAATTATCTCGCTTGCGTCTCGGCTTCGTACAATGCCATCAGCAGAAATGCATCTGCCTAGGTAGACAACGCCAATCACCGGATTTCGTTTCATCTCGGTTGCCTCCTAGCCAGTGGTAGACCATCCCCCATTCGTGAATCACAGTACCAGAAATCGCAAAGTGGCTTCCGTTCTGGTCTCGGGTGTTTGGATCATATTTTCACACTTCGCCACATCCTTGAGCACTACCATCTCTACCATCGTTGCCTTCCTAGACATCCGTGTTACATTCGACCCGGTTGATCGATCTGCGCCATAACACAATTTTAGGCCCAATGCAAGTGCTTGCGTCCGCAGTCTGTCTAATTGTATGCTAGGCAAATTCTGCACGTGAATCACACGTTTCAATTTGTCGAAGAAATTAAAACTGTGAACATCCGGGACTATCGTATCTTTCCCTAGACTTTTTCTCTCTGTTTACCAATGTACCTTTAATAGAGACCGTGAATTTTCTGTGCGCGTATGTTGACCAGGGAGGAGTAAACATTGGTATACCAACAAACCAATTGAAAAAGCTGTTACTTAAATGTACCCTTGACGTACAATTCCAATTCGACAATGAGCTGTACAGACAAGTCGACGGTGTGGCAATGAGATCACCTCTTGGCCCGTTGCTAGCAGATATCTACGTGGGAATGCTTGAAGTTTTAAGTACTACCGACGCTATGTCGATGATATCTTCTGCATGAGCGACTGTGGGACCAATTTGCAGGGCATACTCGATGGTTTCGACAAAGCCCATCCCAATGTTGCTTTTACAGCTTAAGAGAAAAATAATGATTATGTGCATTTCCTGGACGTGTGCTTGGACAGACGAAGTGACGGGTTGATCTAGATGAAACTATACAAGAAGCCTTACTGAACAGACCAGTACACGAATTTTTACAGCTTCATTACTTTAAGCCGCAAGCGGACATTGGTGCGCACAATGACTGACTGCGCATACAAAACCTGCAGTGACCACACCTTCGCAGAAGAACTCAAACTAATAGATGGAGCACTCTTCGAGAACGGATATCCGGAACGCTTCCTCGACACCCACATGAGGCAGAGGAGTCCAAACGCAGATGCTCGAAAAGAAGCAACTGTTTCTGACTCTACCTTTTAAAGGAAATAATGCCGCGGACATCTGCACGCGTAGATTGATACAAAGCTGCAAAAATCCTTTTACTGCAGCCCACTTAAAAGTGGTATACACGTGCAAAACGCTAATTGTTCCGGGATTCAATGACCGAGGGCCCCGATCATCTCCAATCGATGTTAATTTACCGGTTCACCTGTTCCTGTGGACTCAGCTACGTTGGACGTGCAACCAGGTACTTAGGTCAGAGGATCTAGGAACATCTCCCGAGTTGGCTCAGCAACCAGCAGCTCAATAACAGATCACCTTCTCAACACTGGTCATCACGTAAACAAACAAACGGATTTCCAGATCCTTTATAAAGTGCCAACAACATACGGCTATGGAATAAGAACAAGGCTGCTTGCCCGACCTATGCCTGCAAAGGAAATGGTACAGTCGTTGAAGCTGCCATGGCCAACCACCGGATTTAGGCAGCAAAATCACGAGTCTTCAATCATCTGATCAGCCATTTGGTACTTCAATCATTTTAAATGAGTAATCGATTGTTTCTTTTTCATTTTGCCACTGAATAATACCTAACAGTGTACCCACGCTATTTACTGTGTACGGCTGAAGAAGTCATTGAAAACAATTGTTTGCGTATAGCTCACCACTTTCTGTTATTCCCTCTGGGCGACGACAATGGTCATTATATATATATATATATATATATATATATA